CCCCCCCCGGTGTCAGGGAGGGGCGGCACCGGAGGAGGCCGGGCCCGGCTGACGCGCCCGCCGACCGAAACCGCCCCCCGCGCGGGCTGGCCGGGACCCATGACTGCCGGCATCCGCCGCCGGGCCGGCACGCGGGACAGGCTCAGGCGGGCCGATGGAAGGAAGGGACCGGGGGGGGGGGCGGGCGCGCGCGGGAGGCAGAATGAACAGCGGACGCGGCCCCCGGGGCCCGGCGTATGGCCTCCTCGCGGGCCCGGAGAGGGTGGCCTTGGCTGCGCGCGAGCGCGGCCGACCACTCGGCACACCGACGCCTCAGGCGCTCGTTAATAGGCCCCGGGCGGCGGCGGCAGCGGCAGCCGGGCAGCCGGGCGGCCGAGAGTGCACCCGCGGGAGACCGTCCGAGGACGAGACAGAGAGGGGGAGCGGGACGGGAGGCGAGACGGAGACACTCCCCCGGGCCGGGGGCATCGCGGTCCGCCGGGTTGCCGCGCTATTTTGCTCGGCAATACCACCGGATCGGGGGGCCCCCTCCCCGGCTTCCCCCGGCCGCGGGCGGCGCATGTCCACCGGCCGGCATGGGTGAGCTTGTGCGTACGTGCATGTATTAGTGAAGGCCGCCAGCGAGCGTGGCCAATACGCACGCCCGGAGACACACGCGCGTACAACCACAGGCAGAAGCAACCATGGCTCCATGGTCCCCGGTCCGGTTGCCGTTGCCGCCGGCCCCCCCCCCCCCGGGCGGGCACACTTTGACATGCCTCGTACGTCTCATCGACCCAAGGCCGCCCGGCCCGGGGGAGCCCCCGCCGCCTGCGAACCCCCTTGGGCGAGGGGGGACACCGGCCGCCGAAGACAACCGGCGCCAGGGGGGGGGGGGGGGCGAGGCGGGCTTGGAAAGTGCCGGAGGCGGGCGACCCTGCCCGGGCGGGACCGGGCCCTCGGGCCTCTCCGGTCCCCCGCTGCCGGAGGAAGCCCCCGAGCAGGGGCACCACACGCCGCCGGTGGCACCAACGACCCGGCCGGCCAGCCGGCCGGCGACGCAAAGGGCGCCCCACCCGGGGGGAGGTGATGGTGTCTGCCGTCACCGGCCGAAGGGCCCCCCCCGCCGGATGTGCGCGCCCTGCGCCAAAAAGGATTCCCCGCCCAGGGGGATTCAGGGAAATTCCAGCACGCAATCCCCCCGGAGCCGCGGTTGCAGCCCGGCCTCCGCCCGCCGGTTACACACGCCGGCTTGCTCACGGCGGCGGCCGCGGCGGCGGGGAGGGAAGGGACCGGGCGCACGGCTTCGTGCGCACGCGCACACACGCGCTCGCCAGCCCCCGGCGCCTGACAACAACCGGCATGTCGGGTCGGGTGGCGGCGAAGCGCCGGGGGGCCACAGCACGCCGGTCCAGGCCGCGGGAACACACCTCCGGGTTAAATATGGGACGCCCGGGGGCGCCTTTCTCCCCCGGGCTGCGGGACCGCCTCCCGGGGGCGGGGAGGGCAGCTGGCGGCTCGCGAGGGCCGCGCCCCCAGCGGGAGGTAGCGCGCGCGTGCGCGCGGGCCCCAGACGCGGCCGCCCACCCCGGGGCCGGGCGGCGTGCCGCCTCCGGGCGTGTCCCGGCCCCCCCCTCCCCCCGGGCCGCGGCATCACAACGGGCTCGGGGCTGCAACCTCCCCCCGGCGCGGGGACCGATGCGGTGCCTTCCGGGCGGGGGGCCGCGGCAACCATCAGCGCACCGGCGTGCGGGGGCGGCCGCAAGAAGGCTGCCAGGGCCTCTCGCCGGGGGGCGAGGCCCCGGCACACATGGCAGGGACAGCCCCCTTCACGCGGGGGAACAAGCCCCGGCGGTTCGTGTGCACCCCGCCGCCCGCCTCCGCAATCGTGTCCCTCGTCGCGGGAGGGGGGCCCGGGAGGGCCCCGGCTGCCTCTGCGCCAGAAGACCACACCGGGGGGGGGGGGGGGGGGGGGGGGGGAGGGGCACGGACACGCTCTTGAGCGGGGGTAAACAAATAGAGGAGCATTATGCGCAAATGAATATTCGCGGGCCGGCCACGGGGGTGGGCGAGGGCGGGGACACTCTATTTTGATTGTGCTCCCCCCAGCCAGTCCGGTGCAACCACACAACCCCGCCCCGTCCGGTCCCGGCTGTGTCGGCTCGCGGGGAAGGTGTGCCAGAGCAGGGGGGGGGGGGGGCGCCGTCGCGCCGCACGGGCAGGGCCCGAGGCCGGCGGCCGTTCCCGCCCCCCGCCCCGCCCCCTCGCCCCTCGCCCCTCCGGCGATCCGCCGCCGCCCGGAGGCAGGGTCCAGCCGCGGAGGCGGCTCTCGCCCGCCCAGGCCGGACTCCGCCGCAAGAGGCTGCCCCGGTAAAGGGGGGGTGTCCGGTCTGCCGGGGATCGCGGGCCCTGGTGGCCGGCCAGTCTCGGGCACCACCGCAAGCCGGCCCTCCCCATATAACCTGGCGCGCATGATTCCCATCACTCCGCCGGGCCGGGCCGGGCCGCAAACCAATTCTCCCCCACCCGGGGCCTCCTCCGTGTCCAGCGCCGAAGGCGCCCACCCGCCACAGGCGGCGGAGGCAAACCCCCCCCCCAAACGGAAAAGGGGGGGGGCCCGCCCTTTCCCCCGGCCTGCCCCCGGGCCCCCCCCCCCCCCAGCCCCCCCGGTGTGTTGGTCGGGCGGATGGGCTTGGTCGCTTCTCGAGGGCTGCCCCCGGCGCCGTGCCCGGCCGCCCCTTCCCCCCCCCCCCCGAGAGGCCGCCCGGGCACGCCGGCCCCCCAGGAGGCAGGCCGGGGAGCCGAGGCGCCGGGCGGGGGCGCCGGGCAAGGGGCGAACGAGGCACGCCTGGACACGCCCGCGCAGCACCGAGCCGGGCCGATGTGCTCGCACCGACGACCGCCGGTCGTCCAGTCTCCGTGACCGCTCGAGCGCCCGACGCACCGGCAGGGGGGGGCGGGAGCCACCTCCCCGGTGCCCGTTCCGGCGCACACACTCGCCCGGTCCCACACACGCACACATTACTCAGCCACACGCACCCCGCCGAGGCCAGGCGTGTCACACCTTTTGGGGCCCCAGGACAGGGGCGAGGTCTGCCCGACGGGCGACCGGGCCAACCGCAGAGGGCGGCTCACGGCAACACGGGGGTGGCCCTGCGCTTCCGGGCGGCAAGGGCGTTGTGCGCGAGCGCCAGCCGCTCGCCCCACCACGCACCAAGGCATGCCGCACCTCCGCCACTTATGCACACCCCCCGCCGACGGGAGAGCCCCCCCCCCCCCAGACGCACGGCCGCCCGCGCGACGACAAGGCCCGAGGTTGGCAATAAATGCCGCATTAAGGCTAACGAAAATCCCCATATATGGAGTCTAATGCTGGAAGCTCGGTGATCGGCTGGAATACCGTTCTCGCGACGAGATCACGCCGGGCGTACGTCACAGCCGATCGATTTTCGCCTCGCACCCACATCACCCAAGAGGGACAGCCTCGACTGGTGCTGCCCCGCCCCTCGGGGGGGCGGAGGGATTGCTTTTCAAAGCACTCCTCCCCCCTCCGCTGGCCGGTTCTCCTTGTTGCCACTTTTGCTCGCCGCCCTCCCCCCCCCCTCCCCCCC